TTTAGTTTGTTTTTGTAGTGATTATTTTCTGAACAGGATTGAAGCAGATACAATATTAAAGGCAAAAATTGTGTTCGATTTTTGTGTTCATCTTTTTCGTCCACACTTTTAGCTTTATTGTCGTCTCGTTCTTTTGATTCTTCCAATTTTGTTCTTGAAATCTGTTGACTTTTCCCCCCCTCAAAACATTGGCCGTCGTATTTGTAACTTCAGAATCTAAAATTTTTAAATGTAAAATCACGGGATCTACTATTGAAGAATGTTGAATCTTCACTCAAAGGAGACGACATATAGATTCTAAACTGATGTTTACCGAACTTAGTAATCGTTGTGGGTGTGTGTGCTCACATCTTGCAAAATGTGTGTAATTTTTCGTGTTTGTACAGGCGTGTAAACTTACGCAGACATAACTCGATAATTTTGCGGTGTTAGTGCTGAAAGTAATAATAATAAAGTGGTGAACGGGTATGTGTGTTTGTTCGAAGCAATGTCATAAAACATAAAAATACTTTTAGGAAAAAGAAAACCCAGGCGAATGAACCAAAGAGATGCCTGCGTATTTTTTATTTAGTGTTCTGTCTGACGACAGGTCCATATGAACAGGATCCTTCCATCCTTTTCTCGGACTGGGACCTGTTCATATACGTTCTTGGCAGATGATCCAGAAGTGGTTTGCCATTGCCTTCTTCTGTGTGTGAATGGAGTAATTGTTGGAATGCCACGGAGAAACCGGGGAAGCCCCCGGAGGAAAACTCCGTGTTGCCTAGACCACGGCCTTGCCCAACACAAGTTATAAATTCGGGCTTCAGATTCCAGTGGGTATCATGTGAACTCTTAACCTTCCTTAAGACTCAGTAACACCGAAATTTGTTAACAGAATGTGTTAATGGTTCCCTTGTGATTCTCATAACAAGCAGTGACTTTTACATCAACCAATTAATCTTTGAAACGAAAAAGCGTTCAGTTCTCTTTGATGTCAGAACCGAATCTTTATACAAAAAGTTTGAAGTTAGAACTTGAACCCAGACTTTTTAAATTCAGAATTCAGTGTATTTCTTTCGAATACAAAGCGATAAGAAGTCCTATGAACCCAGAAGTCCCTAAGTTTCTTGCACACTGCATGGAGGTCGGGATCGATACGACGCCCAGGAACTGGGGTGCTCCCCCCCTCGAAATTCAGTCCTCTTATCGCGGGAGCACGTATGTAGATCCAGGATGAGAAATCGTGCGATAAACGCAAGATAAAGACGACCAAGTGTCTCTGAATATTAGAGCTGGCTGCTGTAACCCAGCCAGTATAGTGACTGGCTACGGTCTGGACGACCGGGGTTCCATCCCCCGACGGGGGCAGCGGATTTTTCCTCTAGCCTCTGCGTCCAGACCGGCTCTGGGGCCCACCCAATCTCCTATCCAATGTGTACCGGGGTCCTTTCCCGGGGGTTAAGCGCTCACCTCCATCTAGTTCCGAGCGCAGACAGAAGACAAATAATTGGTCACTGTTTGCGATCGAAGTCCGGTCGTCAGACACTTTCTGTTTTAACCACTGCTGCGCTCTCTATCTGCAGGGTCGGGTGGGAGGTGAACTTTCAGACAGAACATACGCCACTTTTACATTAATCTTGTGTTGATTGAGTTTATTAATTTAAACGAATGATCAGATTACGTCTGATGGCTTCGTTCTTCATAATGAAGCAGGTTCTCAGGCAATGTAAATCACTTTGGCCATTAGCTGATTAAACATTGTGATCTACATGCAGAATAACTGTAATTAATTTTGTTAATTTTCTGAGAAACACGATCGTAGAACAAAGATTGCGTTCAGCCGTATCCATACTAAATTATCTATTGGAAAGTTCTTATTTTTTTGTAACTATAATTATATAAATAATTATTTATAACCGTAATAGGTTGTTAAGAAAACATCGCTGAGGAAACTCTTGTATTGTGTATCGCTTGTGCTCTTTTGGGTCGTGAACGCCTTGCAGGTGGTTAGCATCGTTTCACAGGAGATTTAATAAAATAAATCGTACAATACAAAATCCCACAAAAACTACAGTCGATATCTTCATCGACTGACAGCCTCAGAGCTCGGATTTTGTCTTGAAATTTGGAAATAGTTGTTGATTTTTGCAAAATTAACTCTATAATGAAACCCAAAGTTTCGTCAAAATATCTCGTCACTGGACACTGTATAACCTTTCTATTATACTATAATATCATCTTCGTCCGTTGTTGTGTGGGGCAGTGAACAGAAACTTTGTGTACATTTCTTGTTTCCTGAAGAATATAAATGTATGTCTTCTGTCTGTCACAGCTTTTTCTATTTGATGAAAAGGAGTCTACACAGTGAATCTAATTTTGTTTTAATCCTCCCCCATTTAATTAATTAATATGAGCTGTTAATGGTATCCTCAGTGTATGATTATTAAGATTTTTTTTTTTTTAAATTTTGAAACTCAAATTTACTCGCGTGTCACATGCAGCACTCAGTCCACAGATTAACAACCTGTTAGAATGCACATCGCATGTGATATGCATAGTTACACAGATCAGACTCCTGTGATCGCTAACGACTTTATATGGCCGCGAGGCGCGTGCTACTGTCTGGCAGTTAACGTATTTCTGCCTGTAACGCGGAATAGATACAATTTAAACGTAAACAAAGAGATCCCCGTGGGGGGAAAAATAGGACAAAAACGGCTAAATTGGTTTCCAGCACAGCCTGACCACACGCGTAGCAATGTCCCCAAAACTTCATTTCGCTCGGGATGTCTGAAAGGGTCGATACACACAAATTCTGCAGTTGTGATAAAATGATGGACTCCTATTGGCTCTCAGAGATGTATTTGCAGTGTACACCCATCACGTGATGTCTCTGTTGTTTCAATCAACACGCAGAAAGTTGCTAAATTAATACACAGTTGTCCTTGTTTTTTTTATTCGTTTATAACTTTATTTGCACTAACGTGATTTCGTAATATGGTTTATTGAGAACTGTTTAAGAAATTAAAATTAATTATTTTGGTTTTCCGTCAAATCACAATGTATTTAAAATAAGATAATTAAAATATCATTCTGTGTTCCATATCGAATAATCGATTTACAATTGGAACATTTACAACATGTTTCGGTTTTATTAAACCATCATCAGGTGTAAAATTATATTAATAAATTTAAAACTCAATTACAATTTTTTACAATTTTTCGTAGTGTAGTTTTTTTGGAGGTCGTGTCCAGATATTTTCATATAATGGATCAACTTTATTGTTTGAAGTGATGCTTTTGATGTTTACATCGGTCTGTGAAGTAAATGATTTAAAGAAACATTAATGAATATGGATGAATATAGAAAACAATTAAATAAATAATATTAAAGGAAAGTAAAATAAACATACCATAGATGAAATAGTAGACGACACAGTTGTGTCTGGAGGTGATCCAGAAGTATTACCGTATCCGATCAAGGTTCAATACTGAATGCGGTTGCAGTGGGGAGTAGGTGAAAGGTGGTTGTCGGGGTTGGGGTCAAGGAACTGAAGGGCATTAAAAATGGGGTTATTAAGGTAAATGTTATTGTCGTTAAGGCAGATGTTTTGTTTATAAGTTTGTTGTATGTGATATTTTTCTATTGTATCTCTATGTCTTTTATTTTATTTTAATAAATCACAATATGACGCAACTACACTATCTTATGGCGTGTCATGACAAAAAAACGTGTAATAATAACAATAATTTTTGTTTTTAACTCTGTGATATATGGTCAGAAGTACACATTTTCAAACTTTTTATTAATCAGTTTTCTCGGGTTTCATTTTGCGTCTTTCGGATTACGTCAGAGAGTTCTCAGCATCATTTGATCAGTCACCTCAGTCTGTTATTCCCATAATGCAAGAGTAAGCGAATTGTCTTATAATCAGACCACGTTGGCACAAAGCCGGAATGGGGTTTTCTACGCACCTGCGTGCCTTGTCTAGACATGCACACGCACTTCGTAGTAGCTGTTTAAATGGCAAGTTTGTGATTAATGTGCCACACTTTGGCGACGGAAGGTTACTGGCACTGAGCTCACGTATCCAACTTCTCCACGCCCCGTACAAGCCTCCTTTATGGAACGTAAAATAAATACAAGGAAGAATAGATAAAGAGGAAAAGTATGTAGAAGAATGTGTACAAAGAGGAGAATTAGATAAAGGATAAGACACAGATTAAGATAAAATACAAATGCGAAGAATAATTTTCTGCCGAATTTATTCCTAAATTATGGAAGTTGTATTCTGTGATACTGCGTATTGTAGTTTGGTAGAAGTTTACCGACGATGAAGGCAGCAAGCACATCTGAAACGTCGATTATTTTTTTACCACATTACACTCCGCAGCATCCTAGAAGACAGACATATTCGTACTCTCCGCCTTGAGAACCTGAAATGTGTACCTGGTATAACAATAGCTGCTCTGTGTAGGACAGAGGACCCACGACTGCCCGATTCCTCACGCAAGGAGCCCTACAAAATGTCGGTTTCAAAAGACATTTGGTAGGAACCTTGAATGGGGGATAAGCCCACGTTAGGCTCTCGCCCGCATGCAATAACATATACAAATATTTGCTTATGTGCCCCAAACAAGATTTGAACCCGCGATATTGTTGTTTGAGCTATCGAAACCTTGCACCGGAATAATAGTATTAGTATAATAGTATGTAGCCGTCATCAGACTGCATGATTTAAGGCCACCTCCATTAACGCGAGGTTCTAAGTCACCACTACAGCGGGGCTAGCTTTGCTGTGCTGCGAATTCTGAGCTGTCTTCACTCACCTGGGCTGTATTATCCGTGTTACAACGTTGTTAAATTTTGATGCGACATTGAAACTTACAATTTGGTGACTAGTGCCATCGTGCTGTGGAATGTTACTCGGAATTTCGGTGAAAATGGCGTCTCTCTGTTGGAGGCAAATTAATAAATGTGTAGCTGTGGGACTGAGCGCCCCATTTGACTGTTACAGGCGGACATAGTTCCAGACCTCGCGCCCTGCTACGAATCTGAGGATGAGACGATGGGGCGACGAAACAAAGTGGCAAGTGATCTGCACCTCCAGCGCAACAAGAGAGGAACCCCACTGTACTCCAAGGAGGACATCCGAGAACAATACTGCATCACTAGCAAGCAGCTGGACGTGCTGGAACGGGAAAGGGGATCCGGGCTCTTCGGCTGTCTCTCAAACTACCACGTGAGTTTCTTGTCTGCACGCCACTGTGAATACAGAAGCGTTATCCTGAAGATGGAGGCAGAATATTACCCCGAAACGTTAATAACCACCTACGAGGTAACTACCTGGATACGTCAGCTGTTTAGCCGTTGAAGGAACGTGCGGAAATTTTCTGCGAGGAAGTTGTTGGCACTTTAGCGTAATGATGCAATTATAACCCGATTTGACAAAAACATTCCGATTTTGACCACATAATTACGGCACGCATTACATTGGATATGTTCCATAACTATGATTTTCCCTTAGTATAAAACAGAGAAATGAATTAGAATTTTATAATACTGTACATTCACCAATAAAGTTCACTTCTGCCGTCCAGGTAGACACTAATGTAGTATAGCAAAATGTATTTTAATGCTCATACGCATTTATCTACTATCCATGCGTGCTACATGCCCCGTCCATGTCGCCGTACTTGATGTAATCATCATAATAGTACTTGGCGAAGGGTACAATTTGTAGAACTCCTCATTTTGCAAGTTTCTGCAGCCCCCGTGTAGTTTCATCCATCTCAGGTCAAAATATTCTCCTCGGTAAACAGTTCTTAGACACCGTCAATAATTCAAACCCAAAACTTAAACCTACGCAATTGATGGCGATTATTGCGCTGAGTTCCGTCATCACGAGAACTCATGTCGTTGCAGGAGAGTACCTGCCGGTCGCGGAACTCCCTGCTGTCCGTCTGTGTGAGGCGAAAGGTTCCTAGCGACGAGAACCTGCACGAACTATGTCGCCGTCCTGCCGCAGTCTACGCGCCGCTCCCTCGTTGGCCCCGTTACCCGCCTCCAGCACCGCCGCCCCCAGAACTCTGTCTCTATGACGACGACCTGGAGTATTCCTACTTCCGGCGCCGTCCCAGAGCACTGTGCAACGCCGTCGCAGACCCCAAGACGTACACGTGGATGACTGAGGACGAGGAATCCACCCGGATGGTGAGTGGCTCGCCTCCTGTTGTCGGTGTTCTGTCAATAAAGGAATTGTCTGAGGACCTCCCAGCAGTCTGGACGTCGACGTTGGTCCTTTGGGTTGTAACATCGTGTAGACTTTTGGTCACCGTAACATCGTGTAGACTTTTGGTCACCGTAACATCGTGTAGACTTTTGGTCACTGTAACATCGTGTAGACTTTTGGTCACCGTAACATTGTGTAGATTTTTGGTCACTGTAACATCGTATAGACTTTTGGTCACCGTAACATCGTGTAGACTTTTGGTCACTGTAAATCTTGGAATTAGTTGAGGAACGAGTGGAGAGGACCACTTGATCGTACAGAGTGTCCCAAAAATATGTGTTTATTGCGAGACCATTACGAGTGACACGCCTTTTAGAGTTTAAGAAAAGAATGGATCTCGTGCCTCCTAAATTAGAGGCTTGATGCGGTGATTCGACGATGTTTATCATCTCCTACCTTGACCCGTATTGATTTCGTTGTATCCAGGTATAACAGAGGGATTAATTATTTATTTTTAATTACATTTTGATAACACAGTATGTGACAAACCACAGAATAGAGCGTATGAACTGTTGATAAAGGTCGGGGCCTTTTATGTGTAGCCCCCCTTAAATTATTGGGCGGTAAAACACAAAAGAGCCCGCTAAAATACGATCGTGGGATAACGAATCGTGTGGTTTACAGCCGGAAGGCTAAATCTCGGTACTGAACGCGGCTCAACCAGATTCATATTAGCGAAACATATTTCCTGAATATACATTTTCCTGAGCTCAGAGGATCAGAATAAATTTCCCTGACTTTCGTAAGCTTTTAGGTTCTCAAGGCGGTGAAGTTATGTCTGTCTACTTGGTTCTTGTGTCGTGTAATTTTAGCGACGTTTTAGAGGTACTTGTAACTCATGGCCCTGATGATGGAGGAAGCTAACA